CAAGCTCTCCCACCAACCCACCACTAGCATTTCTTTTCTTCCTGTGCTTTTTTATGTTGTGAAAGATCACTGGCTAGACAGCAGGTTTCAGAGCCCTAAGAGAACCTGCTGGGTCTGTCAGCTGCTTAAGCTGCAGTGAGAGAATGCCAAGGCTCAGAAGTTCTCTATGGTCCAATGAAGCAGGTTACAGTTCATCCTTGTGCATTTTCAATAAGTAAACTGGTTTTTTTCCATCAGTTGATCCAGTGGAGAAGGATGTTAAAATATTCCACAGGGCAATATAGGGATCAATCTGCATCCTACCTGCCACATGACTAAAGCACACATATGGCCCAGAAACTCTGTCCAATGCTGTTTTAAGCATTCAAGTTCCTTAAAGCCCAAAACATCTCTGGGTGCCCTTGGATATGAACACTCGAAATGCAATGTCCCAGCAGTCAAAGTTTACTGTGAAAGGGTAAAGAAAAATGATTAATTTAGACTACTTATCTTAGATGAGATCCCATTCCATTGTATTTTACATGAACAGAAGCAAAAGAGAACATGGACCTACTACCCTCAACAGCTGCATGGAAGGAATGTGAGATTGAGGAGAAAAACTAAGTGATTGCTTAAATTCTCTCTTCAATACCATCGCTGTACAAGGAGTGCAGAAGTCCTCATGGGGCCCTCAGGGACATGGAGTTTCTCCATACAAACAAATATTGCATTGTTCCAAGACTCAGTGCCCTAAGTACAGGGCAGCTGCCTGTTCAGGTGCTCCTTTGCATTTGATCTCAAGTCTAACCTGTGCAGGGAATTCTTTGCATAGGCCAGCCTGTCAACTCTGCATCTTAGTTGTGGTGGGAAAGGATCATCATATAGGGCTGCTGTTGCATAGAATAGTGAACTAACATACATGAAAGATGAAAATATTAAACTCCTTATTAAACAGTTTTAACAGACATGTCCTCTTGCCTAACTGAAGAGGGATGAATCATAGATCAGTGGTAGAGTACATGCTGTTTTTGTTTCTGCATGCAAAAGATCCCAGGTTCAGTCACTGATATCTTCAGGTAAAAAGAATAAGGGTAATAATGAGAAAGTCCTATGCCTGTAGAGCCAGTATGTTCCAGAGTAGACAATATTTAGCTTGAACCTTAGACCTGAGGTAGGAATATGGCCCACCATACCTCTTCATCTGACCCTTTTAATACCCCCCCCCCGACCCTCCCTGGTCCATGATTTACACTCTGTATTTTTGCCTGAATGGAATGTGCCCTTGAACTCTGATACTGACTCTTGCTTGTCTGAATGGATAACAGAGTGGGGTGCATGAGTGTCTGTGGAAACTAGTCTAAAGCAGAAAGGTGAAATTTTCATTTGTTCCTCTGCTCACTTTTGCCTCTGGCCTTATCCACCATGGACATGTGGCCATTGGAAGATTGCCCAGAAAGGAATGCAGCCCTCCAACTGAATAGATTCCCCACTCTGGGCTAGATGAACAAATATGAAGTTATGTGAACTTTCCTAACTGTGAGCATCTCTCACGTGCTGGCAGCAGGCAGCAGGTACAAGTATGGTCCTCTTCCACTTCTTGTCTTTTGACTTCACAGATATTTGCTGAAGTGAGAGCAGAAGTCACAGCTGAGCTCAGTGGGAGTGGCCTCCTAGGACGCCATAGCATTGCAGACCAAGACTGTGTTCCTCAAGCTTCACATGCCTTCAGAAATGCCCTGGTGAAAGCCCAAAATTTAGCCCCCCCCCAACCACTTGCCTTCCGTTCTGCTCAATTCACTATGTCATAGTTGTGATACCCTGCAGCATCCCACTAGGCTTGGAGCCCAGCGTGGTGGAACTGGTTGTGCTGCCCTTAATCTGCCACTACTCACAACGGTCAGCTTCTGTGTTTTGGTGAACTTGCAAGCAGGGTTTGCTTTCATCATCTGGTATTATTCCCTGGTATATTGTACCTGTATGTGAAAGTTCCACATAGCCAACCCATCTAGAATTTGTCTAGTACTCTTTGTTAATGCCAGCTAAGCAAGTGACCATCATCACACCTTGGACTTAGGACCATGTCATATGAAGAATTTTCTATTGTCTGTGTACTGATATGCTTTAATAGTGCATCAGAGGAATTACAACTCCTCTGGAAATGGAACTTTAAAATGCACAGAGCTTTACCAAAGCGACACTGGTGTAAGATACACAGGTTACATTAGCCAGAGCAGCCCAAATAACATTTGAATAATCACTGTTGAAAATCAGTTCTGGACTAAGTGGGCTGTTGGTCTGATTTAGCAGGGATTTGGGTGACTTACAACAGCCTTTAGAATCATACTAATATATAGAAAGGCAGCAATTCAAAATCTCTCTCTCTCTCTCTCTCTCTCTCTCTCTCTCTCTCTCACACACACACACACACACACACACACACACCTTCCCAGAAGCAGTGTGTAAGGAACCACCTAATGTTTGGTGAGATAACAATGGTTTCAGATGGTGCTTGAAGATTACCAGTGTTTTATGTATTATTGTGTTGCACCGAGATCATATTTATATTCCTTAGATGCAGTCAGTGCTTTTTTTAGGGGTACTGAGGGGTATGCAGTACTCCCCTACAAAAGAAAATAAATGTTAAAAGTGTGGCACTTACTTTAACAGCTTCACAATGTACCAGAGTACTGGCACCCTTTTTTCTTAAAGAAAAAAGAAAAGAGCACTGGATTCAATTAATGGAAATCACCAGTAGAATTAATCTAGGTTTTCAGGCAGCATCTCTGTTTGTGGTGGATTTGGCTGCATTTTGGGTATCTAAGGACTGCTTCAATTCACTCATGACACAGTAGTAAAAGCTAGGTATGCCACCAAATGTACACTTGGCAGAGAGAGGCATTTATCTGTGTAAGAGAAATGTTTTCTGTTTGCCTTATTTGGTGTACACTAAACATTTTTGGTGTTTATCATAATGTACGGCATACCATGATGTGTGCATTAGCCATGATAAACATCCAGGGCAGAGAGTGATGCTAAGTAAACACTCAAACTGTTAATGATGCATCAAGTACTACAAAAGGTCAGTGACACAGTCCATATCTAGAAGATTTTGGGCTGCACATACATAGCAAAATATTTCAATGCTGTGTGCTGAGCCAGACCATTGGTCTATCTAGCTCAGTGCTGCCCTCACTAACTGGCAGCAGTTCTCAAGGATTTGAGGCACATCTCTCTCTCGGCCCTACGTAGAGTTGCTGAATCTGGATTCTTCTTCATGCAAAGCAGATGTTGTACTACTGAGCTATGGTATTCCCAGATGGAACACAGGAAGCTGCCATATACTAAGTCAGACCATTGATCCTTCTAGCTCAGTATCATTTACACTGACTATCAGCAGCTCTCCAGGATTTCAGACAAGGATATTTCCCAGTCCTGCCGTTAGCTGTTGGTGAAGCACTTCCACAGCCCCTGATTTCTCTACACTTGTAATCAGTGCTTTTTTTCTGGGGGAACGCAGGGGTTCACATACCCCTAAGCATTTTGTGAATCTAAGTTTGGCCTCACTGAGGGGCAGTATTTCAATTTGAGTAGGAAAATGAGAGTACCTCTAAACATTGTGTGTGTGTGTGTGTGTGTGTGTGTTTAAAGGGGGGGGAACACTGCTTGTAATGATGTTCTGCCTCATCAATCAGTCAAAAGGCTAGCTGGTGCTAGGTTGTATGGATTATGTATGTGTTGCGCACACATACATTACTTCAAACTGTTGTAAGCTTCCCAGTGGTTCTTTAGGCCAAAAGGTGGGATATGATTCTTCCGAATGAATGGATAAATGATTTATGTGTGAACTGACTCAATCAAACAGCATTTGGGATGATGGGAGTTGAAAGGAAAACTCTTTCTGCAGAGGTAGAGATCTGTGATAGCCCATTCATACTGATCTTTTCTAGTCAACAGCAGGAGAATGTTGACAATGGTAAGGTGCGTGTGGGGTGGGGGGGGAGACTGAAGATGGAAAATAAGTGGGAAAGAGAAATAAGAGACAGACAATAATGGAAGGATGAAGGAGGAGGTAGCATGGTGTAGCAATAAAATGGATAGTCAATAGTTTCAGGTTAGAAGAAAGAAAGGACTTACACGCACGATGCAGCATAGTTCATTTATGGAATTTGCCATGATGTTGTGATGGCTAGGCATTGGTGTAGAGGCCTTAAAAGGGACATTGGACAGACACATGGAAGATAGACCTCGGCCAGTGACCATTTACCACCATGCTTAATGGAGACTTTAGATTCATTGGCAGTGGTACCACTGAGTTCCAGGAGCTGAGGGGCAGCAGCTACTGCATTCATGCCCTGCTTGTGGGCTTGCTGGAGGGAAGGAGTGATAGCTCAAAGTGGTAGAGCATCTGCTTTGAATGGAGAATCATAGAATCATAGGATTGTAGAGTTGGAAGGGACCCAAGGGTCATCTAGTCCAACCGCCTGCAATGCAGGAAAGTCCCAGGCTCCGTCCCAGAGAAGGTCTCAGCATCGCCTGGTAGGGCTGCGGAGAAGAGCCCCACCCCCCACCCCTCCTGAAACCCTGGAGAACTTGGTTTTAGTGGTGGCGATGCCGAGCTAGATGGACTAATGCTCTGATTTAGTATAATACAGCTCCTTGTCGTTCCTATCTGGTTGGCTATTGTGGGGGGAAGAGATCTGTCCCTTTGATCTGATCCAGCGGAGCGATTCTTTAGGCTCTTTGAAGAGCCGCGATCGAATTCTGCCAACAGCACAGAAGTGGAGTTGGGGCGGGTGGTGGGGTTCTTCCCCCGTCACGCTCAGAGTCCATAATTCGCTTTCATTGCCTTTCTCCTCCCTTCCCGGAGGAGGGTGAGTGCGCGCGTATGATGGTCCACTGGAGTGAAGGAGACCCTGGAACCTTGGAAGAGCTCAGTCGTTTTTGCCAGTCTGGAAGAGGAGCGACAGGAGTGGGGAGGGAGGGGGGGATCTAGCCTTTATTTTTATTATTAATATATTTTTAACCAAACAAACAACAAAAAAAAAGAGTCTCCGCCCCGTGTTTCCCCGGCTGCCCCAGCAACACCATCCCCGCGCGTGACGTCAGCCCCCAGCTCGGTCCAAGGCGAGCCTGCCAAAAGGCTGCCCATTCAAAGTGCTTTGGCAGCCGTCGGAGCTGGAGAGCGAGAAGCGAGCGCTGCTGCCTGCTTCTCCCGGTTGCCCACGCCTCGTCTAGCGTTTCCTCCCAGCCTTGCCTATCCCAGCAGTCGATTCAGCAGGGGAGGCTTTGCAAAGGTCCCGCTGAGCATCCCCCGGAGAGAGAGTCACAGAGGAGGGGGGGAAAAAACATCCCGTCTGTGGTCCTTCCTTACCTTCTTGCGAGGCGCTCTTTTCGCTTCCTCCGGCTCCCAGGCGAGGATGCTGAAGGCGTCGTGGCTGCGCGAAGAGGCGAAGGAGGGCAGGCTCCGCTCCTCCTGATGAGTGAGTACCGCAGCCCTTGGCTCTGGCGCCAGCATGCCTGCCTCCTTCAACGCCCCCCCCCAACCCGCTTCCGCCTCGGCTCTTTTCACCCGAAGCTGCTAGAGGGGTTTTTTTAGACGAGGGGATTTTTGGGGGTGGTGATGTATTGTTTCTGTAGTATTCCTGACCTTGCGAAAACCAACATAAGTGGAGAAGGACAAGGGATCTGAGGGAGATGTGGGGCGGTGGAGAGCTAGAAGGGGTCTCGAGTCGTATTTGATCTCCCCACAACCCCTGTTTTCTCTGCGGAAGAGGAGCCAGGCAGTGGTTCAAAGGAAGCGCAGGGCACTGGAGAGTTCAGGAGGACAAATGATTTTGGAAGGGAGAGGCACGGGGGGGGAGAGTTCAGTTTTGGGTGTCTGAAGCTGACTTTGGTCTCTTCAGCTTTCTCCTTCCCCCATGGTGTGAGGATGCTTCAATTGTACAGAAAGTGGGGGGGGGAGAGGAGAGTTTAGGGGTGCAGAGTTCTCAAATGCTTAGATTTTGTCGGGATTCTCAGATGTCTGATTTTCTTTAAAAAATTACAGTATTTATTTATTGAAGAGGTGGAAGAGGATATGATGCTTCCTTTGGATTTTCCCTTCCCTGAAATAGAGGTGCAAAAATAATAATGCTGGAATAGGTTTTAGAAAAGATTGAGTGAAGAGAGCAAAGAAGGTCAAAAGGTTTACAGCAGCAAGGTCTACAGTCATCAAACATGAGGTGAGAGAAGTGGAGTGGACTTCAGTTCCCACCCCCAATAACCATCTATGTCAGGTAATTTAAGGCTGTGCTGAAATCCTATTGAAATTTTGGAGGGAGAGAGTTAAGAACAAAAGGTTCCTGGGTCTGCAAGGTTCATAGAACATTTTTTAAAGTGTTTGTGGGGGGAACATCAATTCCATTACAGTCACGTACCTCCTTCAGCCTTCCTATTGGGTAAACTAGGAAGTAATTGAATTATATACAAAGAAGAAGAAGGAGGAAAGAAGAGTGAGACAGACAGATTGAAAGAAAGAAAGAGGCAATATTTCTTTTTCTCTGATTAATTTTTTCCTGCTCTTCTGGAAGATGACAGGACCCAACCAAGGCGTTGGTTACAGCTCTTGATGAGTTGATGGGATTGGTAGCGAGTGATCGGGATGGAAATTATGGGGCTGAGAGTCTACTCCACAGCACTGAGAGCTTTTGATTGCTGTGAAAATGTGGGAGGCGGAAAGAAGCAGGCAGGGCTAGCTGGGTAAAGCTGTGGGGGATGAGCGCAGCTCCTGCCTTGGACAAAAGTGGCAAGGGAGGGGTGGGGAGTGCATGGATTTTCAGGGGAGGGTGAAAGAGGAAAAGCAGAAAGGAACTCCAGAGAACTGTCAGGTCAGGAAGTATTGCTATAATAATACAACCTGGCTGATGGAGGGTGGAGAGCAGGGATGCTAGAGTTAAGTAGGACATGGGGCTGTTAGCAAGCTAATGCTTCCCACATCTTTCTGATCCCCTTCCCAGGAGTTCAGGGGTGGTGGGCAGAGCTGGCAGAGAACAGGAAAGCTTGGTAAAGAAGACCAAATAATAGAGGGAACAGACTGTAAGCCTGTGGAATCAAGGTGATGGGAGTCAAGAACCAATAAGATGGCAGGGGACACGTGAAAGGTGGCAGGGGCCCTCTTGTTGAAAGGAGGCCCTGAAATGCATGCCAAGTTTAGCACACAGAGCTGTTGAATTTTCTACCTTGCCAGCTGGCCATTGCCAGTGTTGTTGTTGTTTAACCAGGGTTCTGATTTCCTCCCTCCACACTTCCCTCCAGGTTTGCCTGTCCGCGCAGAAGCTGGGCTGGACGGAGCATAAAGATGCTGAAGGGTGCTTGGCTGCTCAGTGTCTTCACAGTGGCTGGGATCTGGCCGACAGAGAGCCGCAAGCCTGCCAAAGACATTTGCAGCAAGAGCCGCTGCCCTTGCGAGGAGAAGGAGAACGTGCTGAACATTAATTGCGAAAACAAGGGATTTACGACCGTCAGCCTCCTCGTGCCGCCACCATCCAAGATCTGCCAGCTCTTCCTCAATGGCAATGCCTTCACTCGCCTCTACCCAAATGAGTTTGTCAACTACTCCAACGCGGTGACCCTGCACCTGGGCAACAACGACATGCAGGAGATCCGAGCTGGGGCCTTTGTAGGCCTTCGGACCCTTAAGAGGCTACACCTCAACAACAACAAGCTGGAAACCCTACAAGAGGACACTTTCCTAGGCTTGGAGAGCCTGGAGTACCTTCAGGCTGACTACAACTACATCAGCGCCATCGAGGCCGGGGCTTTCAGCAAGCTCAACAAACTGAAAGTCTTGATCTTGAATGACAACCTCTTATTGTCACTGCCCAGCAACGTTTTCCGTTTTGTCCTGCTAACCCATTTGGACCTCAGAGGGAACAGGCTGAAGATGATGCCATTTGCTGGAGTCCTGGAACACATTGGAGGCATCATGGAAATCCAGCTGGAGGAGAATCCATGGAACTGTACCTGTGACCTCCTGCCTCTCAAGGCTTGGCTGGACACCATCACTGTCTTTGTAGGGGAGATAGTCTGCGAGACCCCGTTCCGGTTGCATGGCAAAGATGTCACCCAACTCACAAGGCAGGATCTTTGCCCACGAAAAAGTGCAGGTGACTCCAACCAGAAGGAGAAGCATTCCTCCCACTCTGACACACACGCCCAGAGATTTCCCCCAACCACTAATTCTGCCGTTGGTGCCACCAGAGCCCCAAAATCCAGTCGCCCACCCAAAACAAGGAATCGCCCAACTCCACGGGTCACAGTGTCTAAAGACAGGCAGATCTTTGGGCCTATCATGGTTTACCAGACCAAGTCCCCTGTGCCACTCACTTGCCCAAATGGCTGCGTCTGCACTTCTCAAAGCTCTGACAGTGGGTTGAATGTCAACTGCCAAGAGAAAAAAATTGGCAACATCTCTGATCTCCACCCAAGGCCCAGCAGTCCAAAGAAACTCTATCTCACAAGTAATTACTTACAAACTGTCTACAAAACAGATCTCTTGGAATACAGCTCATTGGATTTGTTGCATTTGGGAAACAACAGGATTGCAGTGATTCAAGAAGGTGCCTTCTCTAACCTCACCAGTTTACGCCGACTCTATCTCAATGGTAATTACCTTGAGATCCTGTACCCTTCCATGTTTGAAGGGCTGTATAGCCTGCAGTACCTCTATTTAGAGTATAACGTTATCAAGGATATCCTGCCACGTACCTTTGATGCCCTGGGGAACCTTCACCTGTTATTTCTGAACAACAATCTGCTGAGATCCCTGCCTGACAATGTGTTTGGGGGCACAACCCTGACCAGACTCAACCTGAGGAACAACCATTTCTCATACTTGCCAGTGCGAGGGGTCCTTGACCAGCTTTCAGCTCTGATTCAGATTGACCTCCAAGAAAACCCTTGGGATTGTACTTGCGACATCATGGGGCTGAGGAACTGGATTGAAAGAGTCACAGAGCAAAACAACCAGCAGCTGGGGACCCCCGTTGTTATTAATGAAGTCATCTGTGACTCTCCAACCAAGCATGCTGGAGCACATCTCAAGACCTTGAGCAAGGAGGCCATCTGCCCTGAGAACCCCAATCTGTTAGATTCTTCTTTTCTGTTGCCAAATCTGAACACAGACATACCACAGGCCTTCAGTATTTTTCCCAGCTCCTATCCAGAAATACGTACTGAAGTCCCTCTTTCTGTCTTAATTTTGGGCCTTCTGGTCGTGTTTATTTTGTCTGTCTGTTTCGGGGCTGGTCTGTTTGTCTTTGTTCTCAAACGTCGCAAGAGTATGCCAAGCGTTCCCAGCAGTGCCAACAATCTTGACGTAAGCTCCTTCCAGTTGCAGTATGGGTGCTACAATAGCGAGGCGCACGATAAAGCAGAAGGGCATGTGTATAATTATATCCCACCTCCTGTCGGCCAGATGTGCCAGAACCCCATCTACATGCAGAAAGAAGGAGACCCGGTGGCTTACTATAGGAATCTCCATGAGTACAGCTACAGTAATCTCGAGCCTAAGAAAGAAGACTCTGCCAGCCTAGCATTTACAATCACTGCAGCAGAAATGCTGGAGAAACAGGGCTTTTCAAGGGAACCGGAGCTGCTATATCAAAACATAGTGGAGAGGGTCAAGGAGCTGCCGAGTGGAAGCCTGGTCCATTATAACTTTTGCACCCTCCCCAAAAGACAGTTCACACCTTCCTATGAGTCAAGGCGACAAAACCAGGACAGGATAAATAAAACAGTTTTGTACGGGACTCCCCGGAAATATTTTTCAGAGCAATCCAAACCTGAACTTCCTTTATTGCAAGAGAAACTACAGACTGAACCAGACTACCTCGAAGTTCTGGAAAAACAAACTGCCATAAGTCAGCTGTGAAGTGGAGCCAGGGTTGGGGAAGGCTGGGCTGAGGATTCATTTGCTGGGGGAAGAAGCCTTTTTTAAAAAAAGAGAAAGAAACAAATGAAAGAAAGAAGGAAACACTAACCCAATTCCGAACTTGACAGACCAAGGCAATGTGTCAAATCCTCAAGAGTTTCCACATTTTAAATTCTCAAACAACCCTTCTACAACGCCAGGGCTATGATGGGTGCTTTTCTTTTTCTGCTATGTCCCTTTTAAGTTATTGCTTGGATTTCTCCACATCCCATCCCTCAGCCCTTTGGGAACTGAGGCTGAACCTTAATGTTTTTACTGGAGCAGTTTTGCCTACATTTCTTTCCGGGGTGGGGGTGGGGACATAGGACAGTGAAAGGATGCTGGGGGGAAGTTTCCCCCCTCCCATACACTTGAAAGGGAATAGATATTCTCCAAAAATTCTCTCCTCCCCAGACTTAGACCGTTTCTTCTCTCCCCCCCTTTTTTTTGTAAATAATATTGTCAGTACAGCTCTTTCAATTACCAAGTGCAGCCACAGGGCGTCACTTCTTTTTTCCTTTCCCTTTTTGGCATTAAAGTGCCTTTGCACTTTAAGTACCTTATTACTTAAGTGTTGCGCTTAGCTTTGAGAAACCTGAATCTATTTTAATGTGTTGTGTAATTTTTTCTTTTTGAAATTATTTTAAAAAGAAGGAAATGTAAAAAATAGATCTCTTACGTGTCGGCTGCATTCAGCTGAAAGGGGCTGCTGTTTCACTGACAGCAAAAATCAGCCCGTCTTTGTTAAGTGATCCTAGTTCAAAGGCTTTTTTAAAAATAGACTGAATTGTAAATTGTGTAAGTTTCACTCTTTCCCAGCCCCCATCAACATCTTCTCCCCTCCCCATGTCAGGTTTGTTATTTTTTACCTGGAAGATTGCAGTCAGCTAAAAAATTACCAGTGGGTTGGGGCGCTCTGCTGCCCCAGTTGGGAGTGATAGTTCATTAATAAAAAGACATTTAACATGATAAGGACCCTATTCAACCAATATCCCATCTTTGCTACACTGCAGCTCCTAACACCATTGTAGTGTTCAGTGTTTTCATTTTCCCCCTCCCCAGGTTATTTGCCTAATTAAGAGACATTACTCTCTACCTGTAAATATTTTTTTCTGCAGTAAAATTAGATATTTTTATACGTTTAATGACAGGAGTTTACCTTACTGGAGGATAAAATTTAAACTGCGGGGGAGGGGCATCTTCATCCCCCCTTTTCTTTCCAGGCATAATATTTTATTTATGCTAAGCATGTCTACCAGTAGGTATTTCCATATATCACCCTGAATAAGGAAAGTGCTTGTTTAATCTTGGACAACCTTGCAGAGGATTTTCAGCGTCTGGAGTAGAACTGGATTAAAATCCCTTTCCCTGCAGAAAACCTACGGAGTGTCCTGGGTCTAATTCCTTTGTGTTAGATTTTACTGAATCTAAATACGCACACCCTGTCATCCATACACATCAGAAAAATGAGAAGGAATTAACATATATCCAAGGCAGCAATTCTGTATTCCTGGGAGGGTATACCAGGGGTCAGTAGGTCTGCATCCAATGTTGGTCTTACTCAGAGCAGGCCCATTGAACTCAATGCGCATGCCTAACTGTGGCCCACTAAATTCCCTGAGGAGAATTTAGTTGAACACCAACCTCCCATAAGGATGTTCTGGGTTGATTTCTTTGAAGGGAAAGTGAGAGGGTGAGAGGTCTGCTTACAGAGACAAGAGATCTTACCTCAGCAGGCCTCTCTCCTCACCACTGCAGGATAGTAGAGGCAAAAGGGGTAATCCCTTTTCTCAAGGGCTGGATCAGGGATCCTTGTATCCAAAACCTTCCCATTCTCCACACACACCTCTGAAAGCCTACACCAATTGCTCCAGTTAGAAATGCATGAAAAACACATAGATTCTCCCAGTACTGGCATGCTGCTGTGTGCTGTTTGGAGAACTTGGGTCCCCCTGTCTCACTTTCCCACCTATACCAAATTATCTAGAACTAAGCCTCATTGAACTCAATGGGCTTTACTTTGGTGTTGCCTTGGCAAGACTTGTGCTGTTAATTGGACAGAAGAAATGACCAAACTCTTCAGAACATACTAAGCTGCCTCACAAGGAGTCAGACCATTGGTCCATCTGCCTCAGTACTATCTACACTGGTCAGCTCTCCGGGCTTTCTGACAGGGGGCATTCACAGCCTTCCAAGGAGATGCTGGGGATTGAACCTGGGACCTTCTGCAGGGAAAGGAGATGCTCAGCAACGCAACTTCCCAACTGCTAACTTTTGCTTCTCATGGTGAGGGTTCAGATACAGCTATAGATAGATATAGGTGTCAGCTGGCGCAACAGTCCTCCCCACCCACTCCTCTCCTCACACATACCCTATGCCTTTCCATATATGCTCTGGATGTTTGGGGGGGGCATAGAGCAGATTTAGGATGTGCACGGGGAGGGAAGGGGAAAGTTCCATTCTGCAAGCAGAAATCCTTGCACTGAGGGAATACATTCGTAATTCTACAACTCAATAGTAACATACTGCTATTATCCCTGCCATCAGCCTTGCAACGTATAAAGACAGACCCACAAGGAAAGGACAGCGGATGGAAAAGCTAGAGGAGGGCAATCAGTTTCCCAGCGACATAACACATCATTGAGCTAGAGGAGAGCATCCAGTCCTACGCCAGGTTGATCTTCCCTTGCTGGTGTTGCTGCCTGAGTAGCAGTTGGTGGCTCTTGTTCCTTTGTATGGCATATGTAACTGGGGTGTGTGCTACAACCCAAATGTCAGCATCTATTACATTTTGTTGATTCCCGTAAGAGAGAGTCACACATTTGCTTAATTCTCCCAATAGCATCAAAGGGTTCTGTTGGTAGGGATGTGGAAATCCAGATGCCCATCACCTCTAGCACCTGAAAAATTGGCTGTGGTGCCACAGTCACTGCTGAGAACAGGAAGCAGGCCTGCCCTCCTCCAAGAGTGTTGCTAGGTTTTTAAAAGACTTATTTCTCCCCCTTCTCCTTCCCAATGACTTGCTCTTATTTACAACAAAACCAGTCTTGTTCTGGTCCCTTGTGTATATTTGCTGCAGATTTGCCCATGATACAGATTCGCATAGAATGAGGATATACAATGATATATGCAAGTTAGGTCCCTGAGCAAACAGATATGGTGAAGTGTCTCACTGGAAGCATGCTTTTCAGCATGCCCTGCAACCAAGGAGGGACAGAAATTCAGTTCACATTTGAAGGTGAACCTACATAATTCTCAACTTTCTGAAATGATACATGAACTGAAACTCAGCCATCCCTCAAAATTCACAGATCACTGAATTCTGCAATGCAGTTCTCCAATCAAGTAATGTGCACAGAAATGCATTATATTAGAGAAAACTGCTTTGCAAAAGTTTTCTGTGTTGGGCAAATTATATGTTTTTACATAGCAATTCGCACTAAAATGCTGACAAATTTTCATGAGCAGGGGCAGTCATGAACTGCTGCAGAAATGTGGAGAACTGAATTTGATATTGGAAAAATGAGGAACCAAAATTGATAAGATACACCTGTCCACAGCTGCAGCCCAGTGATGCTGCTTTCTATTGTAAGGGCAATAATACTAGTACATGGGGACCCAGGGATCAGCACTTACTGTAAGTCCCAAACCTTTGTCTTCCATCCCTTAACACTACTCTCCACCTTTCCTTGTGTACTGTTCAGTGTGCAACCTGGTTGCCACATTCCCCTTGCTTCCATGTCCCTGTAGTCCCTGCAGTCCTGCCCACCTGTCAGATTTGGCCAGTGGTGGAGCCAAAAATGTTCTTCACCTCTGCACCAGTGGAAAAGTTCCCCAGTCAGATGCTGTGACTTCCTGAGCCCAGCACATCTCCATTAAGCACTGCCTAGGAGGAAGAGGGGGAAGGACTGAACACAGCCTGGGAACACAGACACTCTCTCTCCTTTTTCTGGCACACTCGTACCTCCATCTCTCAATCTTCCAAGGCGGCTCCTGCAAAACCTACACAAAATGCAAAACAAGCAAAGAAAAGCCAGGAGGAGAGCATCCTAATGCATGATAGAAATTTGTTCCTACATGTTTCAGGCTTGCTGTTCTCTATCAAGGGCAAACATCTTACCACTCATATCTTCCTTTTACTCTCCTCTATCTTTACATAAGCATGAACTCTATTTTCTATAGGATTTCTTATTTTCATCCTGTCAGCTCATTGTTTCTAGCTGCTTAAAAAACAAGTTGGGATAACTAACTCCAACATTTTGCAAACATATTTGCAGGGAAAAAAATAATATGAATTTTATTTGGGCCATTTTTTTTTTAAGCCTAATATCAGTCCTTCTTCTCCACATCTATGCTTTGGTTTGTGTCTTCAGTTTAATCTTTTTTCCTGGCTGCTTCAAACACCTATTCATTTCCTTAGAACACAGAACCTCATGCAACTAACCAAAGCTTGATAATTCCTTATTAGGCTCTAAATCATATTTGCCTCCTTCTTAGGTGCAAACATAATTATGGAAGTCCCCCCAAACCTTCTTCCCAACAAATTGCTCTTATTTACAACAAAACCAGTTTTGTTTTTGGTCCATTGTAAATCCTTATGCAACTGGAATGGTGCTCAGCATATAAAGTAGGGCAAGCCTTTCAATTCCTTATTAAAGCAATTGATGGCTTCTGAAAGGAGTCCACTGTTTCCTTTTCATAAATAGGTTACCGGACATAATAATCCTTTTATTATCATGCGGGTAGGGAACTGGACCCCGCTGGATGGAATTTTCAAGCTTTTGCAGTTACTGATTATATCTTATCTACCAACTGGGAACAATCTTAAGCCACGAGATTTTTTTGATTATAAATGCTGGCAGTCAAAGCTGTTTTAATTGGAGTGGTGCCAACAGGAAGTAGCCTTATGTTAGGGCACAAAACACAGGCCTCGTGAGAGAGTCTGATTTATCAAGTGATCTTCTCATGGCTTAACGCGACATCTACATAAACACTCTCTTGAACATATCTTCTTCTTTGCATTTGGAGTCCAGAAGACCCTCCCCATTTGCAGCCCATTAGATTGACTTTAATAATGGAAGAGCTGGTTGGGGAAACAGTCCTCCAAACCCATATTGACTTCAAGAAGGAAAATAGTACCCCATTAGCAGAAGTTGGAGTACTAAACTGGAATGGCATCTGACCTTGAGTGAGCTCCTTGTTTGAGGACTTCTGAAAGCATCTGATAAGTGATTCTGTCCTTGGGTTTAACAAAACATATTTCTCACTTAAATAGCTTGAGAAAAACAGGTAGAGAATGGTTTTATATATAAGGCATTGGGTGAGTCAGTTTTCTATATTTCTCCTTTCTGCATTTATTACTGTTGCTGTCTTATGAGAGCAATCCAATTTTACATAGAGAGTGTTTCAAGTAAACATTTATTTTTGCAAGAGGCATTGGTCTATTTATTTTCACTCCTGAAAAAAAGAAATACTAATAATCTCAGGGCTAGTTTAAAGCTTCACATAGCTTGCTGCAGTGTAAGCATGTTGAAGGCAATGAGACTTCTATGAATCAACTGAAAATGTAGAATAAAGTTGAGCAGGACATTTGAAGAAGAGGCTATATTTGGTTTCTTCTTTTGGGTTAGAAAATACTTTTTCTTCAAATATGCTCTGGTATAAGTTATTCCCACCGCTACCACCCACACTATCATGCAAACCACATCAGCAACAGCTAACAATGCAGGCAGGATAGTGACAAAAAATTGTTGTTTGATAATACACTGTTCAACTACATCCAGACAATACATTTAAAGCACTATGGTTCCACTTTAAAATAGGCATGGCTTCCTCACCAAATTTTGGGAGCTGTAGTTTGTTAAGTGTGCTGAGAGTTGTTAAGAGACCTTTATCCCACCCAACCTCCCCGCTCACAGACCTACAATTATTAGAGTTGTCTAAGAATCAACCTCTCTTCACAGGAAACTCTGGGAATTGTAGCTCTCTGAGACGAATGGGGGCCTTCTAGGGCTGCCATATTTTGAAGAGCAAAAAAGAGGACACATTTGCCGACTTCTACTCTTAACAATGGATCACTTTGATGACTGTCATTTTAAATACCCCTACTATATGTTGGCTATAGAAGCTGTGATATATTGCTAGTAGCAATGCTTTTAACTTTCAACGGCAAAATAATAATAATACATATTGCTCCTTCGCTTGCCACATGAAAGTATTTGGGCTCATGTTCACATAAGTGTGCACAGAACGTAAGTGTGCACAGAACAATTTATTAAATTGTTTAACATGTACATATGGACTATCCTTAAGGGAAGGGGGGTGTTAACTCTTGCCCTTCCAGACTCCTTCATGAAGATCTTGTAGCTGAGCCAGCATCCTTTAAGTTTATCCACAAGAGAAGGGATTTATATAGGATGTATCTAGTTTAAGATGCTGCTCTGTTGTGATTCTCTGCTGCAGACCAGCTTAGCTGGGTGGCTTAGATCTGAGTCTGATGCACTGGAATTTTTTTCTTGGGTTACTGTAAACAAACAAACAAAGTAAAAACAACAACACAATTGCCCAATTTTAAAAATCTGACTAGACAGAAGTTTTAATCTTGAAAAAGAGGATGTGTCCTGGAAAAAGAGGACACAACTCTCAGCACAATTAAAAAACAGCACCCAGAATCTCGGGGGGGGGGGGGGACGGGACCATGTCTGTTTAAATGGTATCCTAGAGCTTTAAATGCCTGGTGTAAATGTCTTTCATTCCCATAACTAGCACACACATACACATGTGCCATCAGCAACAGCAAAGAATGCAGACAGGATAGTGGCAAAGACTCAGTAATATGTTCTTGGTGAGACTAGGTTGATGGATTCTGATTATACTCAAGGTTAGTTCATGCAAATGGCAAATGAAATAATACAACTGTTCCTGGATGATACAAGTTTAGACAGCAGGAATCGGATTACTTGGCTAAATATTCCCTATTGGAGAAACATTTTTTAAAAAAATCATAACCTAGGAAATTAGCATATCAGAGAGAAAACTAAGTTGGAACTCTCGTCTCTTTTTCATTTTCACACACACACACGACTTTCAATCTATTTCTTGCAGTCCAAGATGGTACAACCAGGGACCCAGGGTTGGGCATACATGCCCCCCATCTGATCTGGCACTTCACAGTGGCCCCGATCCAGCTTTGGGAGATCTGAGTCCAACCTGACCTGGATGTCTCCCACTACATGTTTAATCAGGAGGGAGAAGGAGATGCACATAGGGCGTCTGTGTGTCTTTGTCACCTTCCTTTTACTGCCAGACTGCCTCCTCTTCTGATGGTCCCATCCTGCTCTGGGTGGACTCAGCCATACCTAGGGCAATCCAGGACTGTGTCAGCACAATCCAACCAAATCCTAGGATCATGGGAAAAGAAAGATTTGATGGAGGGGGAGGGGCACCTCTGTAAGCAGAAATCCAGCCATTTTAGATATCATTCCTCTCTGGCCACATCACCATTAGCCCCCACTGTTCTCAAAGGAAGGTCTGCTTTTAAGCTACAGGCCAACACCACTGATGGCTACTGAGAGAATTGCTAATGGAAGTTAGACCACTGAATGAATGCCCTTTCCGACCATAGTGAAGAATCTCATTTTGAAGTAGTCTAACCTCTTCAGGTTCCCAAGCTAAGAAAAGGGCCAGGAAAGAGAATCCATAAGAAATATAATGAAGAAAAGAATTGGAAGAAATCAGACACCATCCTGATATCTGCCTGTTCTTTCATTTCAAATCACATCCTCCCAACAAGGATTTGCAGTGGAGAAGTAGTACCCAGGCATTTGGTATACACTGTAGCCTGGAATCCAGGAATTCTAGAAAATGTAATGCAGTCCATACTTTTAAGAAGTTGAGCAAATGTTCACTGCCTGAATTAATTCAAGGATAAGAAGGCATTTCTGCTTCAGACTGCACACTTCTCTCAATTTTACAGCACAACTCTCAGCCCCCCCAAAAATGTATTTTAGGGAGAAATGCAGAAACATGAATTTTAGGTGGGAATGTATTAGGGAAATGCATATTTTAAGAAAATGCATAGTGTGTTATACTTTTAGTGGTAAATGTGTACAATTTAAATATGTGCTGTTGTTTTTAAAAGAAATGAAAATGGGCTGGAATGGACATATGATTGAACAGGTTTGCTGCCGACATGGACAGATCTAACTATCCCTAACGCTTCTACCATAAATGTATAGGGTTTTGCTTGCTTTCTTCTTCTTCTTCTTCTTCTTCTTCTTCTTCTTCTTCTTCTTCTTCTTCTTCTTCTTCTTCTTCTGATATAGCAGGCAAGCAAGCAAGCAAACAGGGCACATTGAAGCCAAAACTACCAGTTCTTATTCATCCCCATTTATTTCAAGGTAAGGCTTACCTTCTCCCATAGACATCAATGTGACTTACAAGAATAGGAAATGATAACTTCCCATTCCCTGCTACTTACAGCAATGTATACATCCCAGCTCAGAATAGGTTGTGGAATTAGATTTTTAAAAATGAACAATGCCTCAGACCCTGAAGAACTGCTGCCAATCAGGGGAGACAACTCTGAGCAAGACAGGCCAATCACCTGACTTGGTATAAGACATATATTTGATTAAAATGCTTTGGAAGTGGTCACACCTCTGTGCTATAGCAGATGCTTTGTGCATATTAAGTTGCAACTTCAATCCCCGGCAACACTATTTAAACCAGGGGTGGGAAACTGAATCTGCCCGACAGACCTACCCCACCAATCAGCTGATGGTCACCCACAATCTGCCTTTGGCTCTATCTCTCATACCTGAGGTCAGGTGCTTATGACATAAGGTTTATATGACATAATGGATAGAACAGGTGTGTGTAGTTTGGCCAAAGTGTACTTGCAGGCCAAATGGAAAGACTTGGCAGGCCCGATTGGGCCACAAGCCAGAGATTCCCTACCCCTGATTGATTGATTGATTGATTGATTGATTGATTGATTCCTAACAAAGTTAGGATTTATCTGTGACTACTAACCTAGAGATATATGTGTAGTCAGAATAGGAGTACTGGACAAGTTGGACTAGTGATCTGAGTGATTCAAATTAATGCAGCAAGGTATTAAAATTTGTGGTTTTTTTTAAGAAGAAAAAATAACCCCTGGCTCCCTGAAAGACATTCCTCAAGAAGAACACTCTGCATTCCCAGGTTTTCCTGCTCAGCTTAGTCTTAAAGGTCAAACTTGTTTTTCATTAGTCACAGATGGAAAGGAAGAAGAAAAAATTCCTTCCAACACAAAGAAAAACTTGCATCCTTCCCCACTATTCAATTCTGAATACAGAGTTTAAGGCTCATTCTCTAATTAGTGTACTTGGCATAGCAGATGCCATAGGGACAGTTCAGATGTAGCAACAAACCATGGTTTGTACTGATGTCTAACCCAACTCCATCACACTGGAGATCAGCAGTTTCTCCAAAGCAGCCTCAGATGTGTATGTTGGATGTGTGCGTGCTTATAAAAGTTCACCTCAAGTGAGAGGTGCTCTTTGAAAACTCTTAAATTATTCTTTGTATTCATTCAAAATCCAAGCCATGGAAGAATTCCTGACTTTCCCAAGCCCATCCATTGGAACTGTCATTGTTCCAAAAAAAGTAACTGCCGGGATGCATTCATTAGTCAATTCCCACATGCATGCAGGAGTGGATTTGGGGTTGTGCGAGTGGTCAGTATACACTGGTTGTTTAGCTGAGAGCGCCATCTCAAATTCCAATAAATGAGGCACTGGTCTTTGGGAAGGAGGCATGAAGGCTCTGACAGGGTCCTACGTTCCTCCTGTCCCCTTCCTAAAGCTGAGTTAGTTTGGGAAGGAGTGAGAAGGTTCTAGGATGCTGCCTGAGCATTTACACCTTCTTCCCCAAGCTGGGTGCCTACTTACCTGCCTTTGGAAAGGCAGTGCAAAGGCTGTGTGTGTGTGTGTGTGTGTGTGTGTGTGTGCCTACATTTCTCCTTACACAGAGTATATACATCAGTTGATACCTCAACACATACTAGCTGAAAGATGAACCTGCCAATTGACTCCATATTATTATATGAGTATGTGACTGGGATCTGAATTGACTCATCCACACACGCAAATGACAGATTCCTGCATTGCAGGGGGTCAGACTAGAAGATCCTTTGTGGTCCCTTCCAACTTTACAGTTCTATGGTTCTATTATTGTTCCTTCATTCCAAAATCAAACACCTGCATAAAATAGCAAAATAAAAATAGCAAAAACAAACAAACATATCAGAAGGAAGTGTTCTAGTCTAGGCTTCTCTCTGGTATGAGTTTTCTATATGCAAGCATTTTTTATTTTCTCCACACCCATCTTTGGGGTGGTGGTGCAGTAGAATATTCCATCAAGTTATCTCCTTCTTGCAAGCTGAAATACT